TAAAAGCAAGCTTTTCTTTGTAAAAACTTCAATTGAATTTCAATAAAGTTAAAGGCATGGCCTTATCATTAATATTTTAAAAAAAAAAAAAAATTGTAAACATAAATTTGTTGATCATTTTTAATATTAAAAACTGTCAAATAATATTAAAAAAACAAAAACAAATTATTTTTGTTATAGTAATCTCTTTTTTGTTAAGTAAACCTCTTGTTATAATATATAATTAATCTCTTATTATAGTAAATCTTTTATAATAAATTTAATAAAAAAAATTTAATACTGTTATTTTTTAATTAAATAATTAGATCAAATTGCTTTCTTTATTATAATTTTTTTTTAATAAGTTTATTATACCAAGAATAAATTTTATATAATAAAAAAACTTTTTAATTTAATTATTTAATTAAAAAAATTAATTTGTATTTAAAATATAATATGTTATAAAATAATAATTTAATAATAATTTTTTTTAATTAAAAACCTGTCTTTGAGAATCAATTTTTATATAAATATTATCAGAAACAAGAGCCTCTAGAGGCTTTCTTACATAGGAGGTTACAACTAGCTACACATGCACTTTTGGTATCTAATTTAAGTAGTTCATCTATATATTACTATATAGGTTTTATACTAGATACCATACCTGCAAGTCAGATCAGAAAAAGTATTCTAATTGTTTATTCTGTTTTTAAACTTCTATATACCCTTAACTAAAACCTTTGTTTTACTGTTTTTAAAATTTCTTTTTGGTTTAAATATGTATTAAACATAAAAAGAAGTTTGATAAGAAGAAAAAATTTTAACCTCTCTATAAACTACTAAGAATATGCCTGCACCTTGATGTTTCATATATAAGCTTCATTAACAATAACCTACTTCACATAAGACCAAATTTGATAAACTTAGTACAGTATTAGACGTCATAATCATCACATGTATCTTTTTTTTTGTTAGCATTATTTATTTAGTATTCAAAACTGTTGACATCAATTTTAAGCCTAAAAAATCAAATTAAGTATTATTTTCAAAACAAGCATCAGTTATATATTCTTTTAGCAATGTACTGAGCAAGTGACATAACGAAAGTATCGGAGGTTCGATCATCAAATTTAATGATTCGAAAACAACAAAGTCCTAATACTAAAACTGATCATTCAAGTAAGCGCCAATCTGGTTATAAAATTTATATAATATAAACTAATTATATAAGTGCACACGCACTTGGGAGTAATGTGTGCTTAGAGAGCAATATGAAAAAGTGCATATATGGAAGTCATGTATATATTTGGGCTGAAATTTGAGTGCGCACTTCGAGAAGGTGCAAGAATATGAATTCAACAAAGAGCTTATATTTTATTAAAATAATATTCTACGACTCCTAGTGTTCGCTCGTGAACAATTCTAATGATATCTTATGATGAGATAATGCCGTAAAAATATATTTCACGGACATTAAGTTATCAGTAAAAAATTTTTAATCAGAAATGTTATGGGCATAGAAACCATTAAATAATTATTTTATTGCTTCATTATATTTAATATAGTTTCATTTAACGTTAAAAGAACTACATATAAAGTTGTGTTACCGAATATAGCTGTTGCTATAATAATTGTGTAGTCAAATATGGTTGCTGTCGCGATAATAATCTATTTAAGTGCTGCGGAGCGAAAAGCTGGAAGTGAATATTTAAGTTTTCATAATGGCGAGTTTGGCCCATTTAGCCTCTGTGAATTCTGATGTTTATAGTTTACCTTGTACAAATACACGCATTGTGAAAAGCAACTGCTGTATCATAAGTAAGCTTTAACCTGTTTTTTTTTATTGTGATTATGAAATTCTTTCGTGCAATGCATAATTTATTTACAAAAAGATAAAACATCAACAGTAAAGTTGGCATTTGATGAAAAGTTAGGTAACATTTGAATACTAAAGTCTTACTTTGTTTATTAATAAAAATACATGGATTACCCTGAAAAAAAATACAAATTAGAATGACTTACAATAATTAGTAGCCATAAAACCAAAAACAATTGCTTGTTTTTTTTAAAAAAAGTAAAAGATAGAAAAACATTGGCAGTAATACTGAAATAATAAATTAATAATTTTTTTTTTGTTCATAATTATACCCTAGACCCAATTTTCACCCCAATTTAATCCTCTTTTCGCGGGTAATGTATTTTGTCGGTCTAAATCATTAAGATTTGATGAGACAGAACTTTTACTATTCCTATATCCAACCCTCTCTATATCTTGTTGATTATTATAATAAACATATCTTTCGGTTTCACTACCACCATTAGGAGCTGAAAATCCTTCCGAAACCGCCATCACAAATCCATCCCAATCATCATTACGACGAGTTCTAGATTTTTCTTCTAATTTCCACTTTGCATAATCCTCACTAGATAAATCATTATTGATCTTTTTATTCATTCTCTTCCAATATAATTTTCCTGCTGTAATATCATATGCAGGTGGAGATTGAATTTCATAAAGTCTCATTGTAGTTTCTGAATATACCATTTCAGGTACATTAATTGAATTTTGAGAATTTTGAAGATTTCTCATATTTTTGATTACATTGTTTTCATCTAAATTCTCTTTAAATTCATTTGTTTTTGCTACACGTTTCTTTACGGCAATACATCGAATCAACAAAGCAATCAATATTAAAAATATTATAATGGAAATAATTATTAATAAAATTTTCCACCAATCAAGTTTGGAAGAATTTGTTGCATCAGGATTAGAGATAGTTTGAGGTGTAACGATAGTATTAGTTTGTAAATCATAACACATTCGTTCAGCTTCTATCATTTTACTACCAGTTGGACATGATCCACTACAAGTACCATTTATCAAAACTTTTGATCGATCAGCACATCCAAGACATTGATCAGAACGTGAACCAACGCATGAAGAACAAACAGAATTACATTTTTTACATGTTCCTGTACTATCGGCATAACTACCAGCAGGACAAGTTTCAACACATTGACCTCCAGATGTTAATATTGGACGAGTTGATGGACATTTTTTACATTGAGTAAATTCTTGACCGGAACACTCTGCACAGTCAGGATGACATTTAATACATGCTGTACCTTGAGTGAAATATGATGATGGACATGGTGTTGATGAACAGACTCCGTTCAATGCAAATTGATTTGAATTTGAACATGATAGACATTCCGATGCTGAAGGTCCACTGCAAGTTGCACATGCACTATCACATGCTATATTAAAATAATAAAATAAAACGTTAAATTAATGTGTCAAAAAGTTATGTATTTGGACATCAAAAGATAAAAAATTTTACATTACCTATGCAATTTAAATTATCATTTGGATTAACAACTTTTCCAGGTGAACAAGTCTTAACACAACTACCATTATCAAGTACAAATCCTGGAAGGCAGCTGTTACATTGTACTTTACCATTTTGACTAGTGAGAGCTGTGGGACTATTTGCTAAAGAGCAATCGAGACACGCGCTTGGGCACGCTAAAATATATAAAAATTATTAATGTTTAAACATATGTAATACGTATATAGAGATGATCACAATTATACATGAAGCGTCTAAATTTATATAATAATATATTAATAGTTTTGGCAATTATGAAAACTAAATTTGCCATTAATAAAAATTGATTTCGACAAACTAACTGCCAAAATAATAATTATTAATAAAAGTAATTTAGACGCCATGTATATGAATCTATTTGAATCGATTCAATTTGACTCTAGTTGACTCAAGTTATGATCACAACTAATAATATTTTGATGATACGTAAATTCGACAAATAAAAAAAAAAAAACTTACCATCACAAGTTCCTGCAGCAGCATTAGCAACGAATGCCTGATTTCCAAGTGGAGAAACACATTTTCCATTTGTTGCTGGGATAACACACCTTCCTTCCAAATAAAATTTCGGAGCAGCGCATTTCAAACAATTATCAGGACCAGGACCAAAACAAGTAGCACAATCAATATTACAAGGAGTGCAAGTATTTCCATTATTTACATCAGGAAATTGACCGGCAGGACAATTAAAAGTAGTTTGGGGAACGCATTGAGTTGGATTATCAGTAGCAAAGTTTAAACCGGTTAAACAAGCAGTACATTTTCCGGTCTGAGAGTCGCATTTAGCGCACCCTATCGCACACGCTTTGGCATCGCTACCCGATTGAAAGTATCCCGCTTTTGGAACTTTACAATTAGTATTTGGATCCCAACCTGCATTACAAGTACATTTGCCTTGACTGTCGCATACGCCATTTCCACAATCACATGCTTTAAAATAATAACATGAATGTTATTAAATTTTACAATAAAAAAAAAACAAAAATTATTTTGAATAACAAAAAAAAGAAAACTTACGTGTACAGTTTGGACCAAAGAATCCGGGAGCACAAGTATTACAGTTGGTACCACTAAATCCAGTAGCACATTTACATTTACCAGTTCCAAATAATCCATCATTACAAGTCATTTGACTATTATTTGTTGAGCTCTTACAAGTCAATGAGCATGCTATTAAATATTATAAATAAAACATATAAGCGATCATTCAGTTCAAAGTTTGTGTTTTCATTCACACTCATATTAATGTAATGCTAAACTTTACCTTGACAATTTGGACCCCAGAAACCAGGAGCACATTGATTACATCGTGAGCCGGTGAATCCAGTTTTACAAACGCATACATTATTAGTCGAACAAAAGCCTCCAGAAGAGCATTCATCTTTACATGTAGTTTGAGAAATATCCAAACTTTCAAAAGAAACTTGACTAGAAGAATCAACTAAAACACTAGTGAAACTATGAACCGGTTCAAATAAACCTAAATTATTTCCAGAAAAATTCGAGATAGCTCTTGATTTTAGAGATACCATAACAGATCCAACATTTTTTGGTGTAGAAACTAAAGTTCCAACATTAAAATATTCACTTGAACCAAAATAATTTGCAAGTTCATAAATGATTATTCCAGGTTTTAACTCGACAATTATGGTAGAAGTTTTATCATTGATAGGAGAAAGATTAGCCATATCAGAAGTATAAGTTATTGAATTATTATTTCCATGATCAATAATGAATTGGAATCCAGGAGGAATTTCGATAGAAAATGGAGAAGAAAATATGGAAGAAGGAAGTTTTTGAGAAGTATAAGTGTCAATTGTTAATTGAGTATAATTATCCAAGAACATTGTACTTGGATAAAAGTTAACAGCGTCTTTTAAAAATTAAAAATGAATATATAAAAAAATGAATAAGTAAATATAATAATGGATTAATTGTTTATACGTAAATTTATAATAGCACTTACTTGGAGCGACATGATAAGGTTTCCAAGACATAGTATCAACACCAGCTTGACAAGTATTTAAACCAAATTGATTTCCAATAACAGCCAAACATTGACCAACTTTAGAACTACTCATTAAATTATTATTACTGAATTTCCATTTTTGTGAAATACTTTGATCACACGGACAAACTTGCACACCATTTGACGAAGTGGCAAGGCAAATTTTATTATCAGATGATTCAATAAAAATTTCGGATGAATTTGTTAAATCTAATGCTACGGATGGGTCAATTGGTATAATGTTCCATTTAATTGAATTTGGAACATCAATGAATCTATTAACAGGACATGTTGTTTGGGAAAGTGGGACGCAAGAAGTGAAAGTAGTAGTTGAATGTTGGAGACAGGATTGACTATTACCATTACGGATTAATTTGGCTAATTTGAAAAATCATCATTAGGATCGTTAAACTTTTTTTTGATTCTTATTGAATGATTTAATTAATTGATGAAAACTTACAAGCAGGTATGAGTTGTATCCATACTGTCAAGATCAATAGAAAAACATAAAGAAATTTTACGTTTTGGCTTTTCATTTTCATATACATAGGATATATATATATATATATAAAGTATAAATAAATAAATAAATAATATATAGTGTATGAATATATATATCTATATGTACTATAAAGTCCAAAACCTAAAAAAGCCCAATAAAATATATTACAAGTGTGAAGGCAGAGAGACACCAGTGTCCTCGCTCTACACTGAGGAAACAAAAACTGGGACTAAAAAATTGGAAGGGTTTAAAAAAACCACGAACATTTCAGAAGTTCTTTTTATACAAAAGAGGTAGTAAAAATTAATACACAACAGTTATAATAAACAAAGTTAAAATTAACACAATTACCGTTATTATGCGTTAAGGGATTATCCTAAATGTGTTTCGAATCGCTGTAATAGTTAATTAACGGTTACTCTAAATTGAATCTTACTTTTGTGACCAAGTTTACAATCCAATATTTCATAGGCTTCAGAAGTGTGTGCATTACATATTGCATGTTTATTATTAATGCAAAGGATCTATGACAGACGTAAAACTAATTCTAATTTTTTCATTATTTTAATTATGAAAACATTTAATTTGATTGGCTTTAATATAACAATCACTACGATCGATATTATAAATTTAACTGTATAGCGTTAATGTACTATGCTGTATAACATAATAGTAAAGCTATATATTATCGCTATGACCTAATATTAAAACATTACTATTGTACTATGGCTTGATTAAGAATAACTGATAATTAATATAATTAATATTTACTTTATTTATACTATCAACAACACGTTTGCCTATACATACAAACAAAATTGTACATCAAATACAGCAATAGGCAAAAATGTTAGACCTATTTTTATATGTAACGGTAATACGAGTTTGAGATTCTTTCTTTTCAGGCATCTGGTGTGCATATATACTTACGTACTAGGTAGGATTCGGAAACATCCAACAATTCCCCTATCTCAAGATTTTGTAAAAAAAAAAATAAAAAAAATAAAAAAAAAATTTAATGGAATTCATAAGCACATAAGTACGTATATATGTGTGTACACACGCAATAACACTCAATTCTACGATCGATTGGCAAGTTTCATGTTGAAATTCGGGAGAAATGTTTGAAGAACAATAGGATTACCAAATAGGCTTCTAAATATTTATCTGTTATGCGATACGAATTTGTCAAACTTTCTTTTCTTTGGGATAGTTTTGAACGTTAATCTTTGTTCTCTTTAGGATAGTTTTGAACGTTAATCTTTCTTCTCTTTGGGATAGTTTTGAACGTTAATGGTCGCTAAATTGGCATATCGCTAACATTATATATATACGTTCATGTGGGATTTATAAATATAAGAGAAATTTATCTTTGTTTTAATGCACTATCAAAAATAGCAATTATGGTTTAGTTACGTAAAAAAAAACTTTAAATTATTCGAAATTTAGTATTTATGATCTCTCTAACTTATTGTTTCCATTGACTCCTTTTTTTTCTCTTCTTGAATTTTTATCACAGTAGTAAGTTTAAAATTGAAGTATAAAAGTCGAATGAAAATGCCCAATGATTTATACTTACATATTATACGTATAATATTTGAAATATTCAAGAATCTTTAAAGAAACCCTGGTTTGAAAGAAATATAAACTGAAAACATATATTCATTTCAATTATTGTAGAACGCTTAAACTTAAGGTTAAGCGAATTAATTATTAATTTTATTAGTGGTGCCACCTATACCAAATTTATAGCGCTTTGCAAAAAGGTGTGACCTCGCGATAATGATAGAAATTTCTAAGATTCGCCTATCGGTCATATTTTTCAATTAGTATATATATTTATTCGAAATTTTTAAAATTGTTGGAGAATCGATTTTCTATGATTTCATGATTCACAAAGGTCATACCTTTTGCAAACTGCTATAATTAAAGTTTCCTTTAGGACCAAATTGCCCGGTATATCTTTTCCTAGAATCACCATTGGTACCGGAAATATTATAAGCAGTTACAAAATTATGTATTAAAAATAAGAATAGATACTGCTTAAGCATAGTCTATTGGAACAGTATTCGAGAGCACATTAAGATAGTAATTATTCAACCCATTTTTAATTATCTAGAGAAGCAATTTACAATGAGTCGCTCAACAGAAGAGACAGTGATAAAACTATACAATATATTTTTATTGCATAACGATAAGCCTAGCAAAAATATATACTATCATTATATACTAGCAGAGCACAAAACCTATCGCTATTGTAAAATACCGCATCAGTCGGAAAATTTATTTAGATAAATTTCATTGGTCGTCATATCTGAACAAATTTTGTACACTGTATACTAGTGGTATCTTATATGCACCAATCGGATTTTTTTTGAATAATCGTTACCAATAAGATCACTAGATCAGGTTAACGTGAAAATCACTTGTTTTAAAAAAAAAGACAATAACTCAAAATTTTGACTATGAACTCACTTCCTGCGCTCTAATAAAAAAAAAATTATCGTGAAATTTTGGTATAAAACATTTTATATCGTAATTTCACCAATCAGACCTTTTCGAATTAATCAAACCAACTTTAATATGCGTAATATGTTAAAGTACTTAACCCTCATTTTAGGGTTGGAATAGGCAAATTTGTCGATCTTTTATGGTCTTATTGACTAAAAAAGTTCCATGTTGTGCAATATAAATAATTCGATTTTAAACCAAAAGTTGTACAGTATAACGATAACGCACAACATAAATTGCTATAAAATTTATATAAAATTACACGCCTTTTCAAGATCTAAAAATGGGTTTCCAAGATCATTTAATCAGCTTGACTTTACATAAGACCATTATTTTTTATGGTAAAATATACTTTACATTTAGATGTGCTTTTTTATAGGATAAAAAACAATCGACAGGATCGCTGAAAATCAAGAATCATAAATCGTCACGAGTCTTATTAAAATCATCCCGTGGATTTTTAACCATGCTTAGCAACACCTTAAACTAATTATTGATTTGAAGTTTTTTTTATATTTTCTAACTAATGCTGTAAACGCTATTAATTCCCACGTATTATACTTGAAGCACTGTATATGTAATAAAAAATATTTAAGCAGTTTAATATTAATTATACAGTCAAACCTCTCTAAATGCATATTCCCTAAATGCATAGTCTATAAATGACCTCTTTAAATGCATGGCCTTGTTTGTTCCCAACTTATATGACACTTATAGATTTTTACCTCTCTAAATGCAAGATTTTTTTGACCGCCCCACGGCTATGCATTTAGAGAGGTCTGACTGTATATTAAAATAGAATTTCACTAAATTTGGAATTCGCATAAGTGAATTCTAGATATAATATACATTTTGCAATAACATTATAATATTCTAGATCTAATATAGATTGTTAATATTACTGTGTTATATAGGTAATTTTAATAAGAAACTACATACTGTAAGATTTTCGCAAAGTTGAAATAAAAATTTGAAGATCATTAAAAAAAGAAATTCATTGATTTTTGAATTCTGATTTTCTTATATACGTTTTATCGTATATATAGAAGCTTAATGGTGATAAAATATGTATTAATAGACTATACGCATGTACGTGTAAGTAGATTTGCTGATCTTTACATTGCATGATGTTAATAGCTTCATAGTATTTATAAAGAAATCAGAATAGTCTAACAACTAATTTCTTTTTTTAATAAGATGACATTTTATACTAAAAATATAGGATCTACTTGGGTAATTAAAGAAATTTGGGTATAAATTTAATATTTCAATATATTTTAAGGAATTGCGTATAATCTGTCTGGCAATTGGAAAGGCATTCTAAACTGTATCCCTGTGTTTGATTTAGATCACAAGGTGAGTTGTAGAAATGAATTTTGGTCGTGAAGCGTTCAAATATTGTAAATTTGGCAAATAGTTCAATCATTTTTAGATTATTTAAAATTCAACATTTTCTACGTGTTCATTTCAATTACTAATTAAGTCATTAGTAAAAAAATCACATAATATATTAGCATTAGAATATCAAGAAAAGTTTTACTATATTATAAGTGGATACGAAAATGTGTTGGTTAATTTAACAAGTGAATTAATAAATCGTTAGAAAAAAAGAAAAATAATGTATTTGAATTAAACTATCGAGGAAAAATATGGTTTATTATGGGTGAATATGATAAAGCATTGAAAATTTAGCTAGATTGCTAGAAAATGAATAAGATAATGTAATAGCACTAAAAGTGTCGAGAAGGAATGAATTTTATAATAAAAAGGTATGACGAATCAATTGCTAACTTGAGAAAATTATTAATTTAAACCAGAATGTACATGGGCAACGGAGGCTTATAAATTAGTTGGACTACAAATATTATTTTTTTCGCTTCTTAAAAAGTTTAAAACTAAACCAACGCAATAGCTCGTAAGCTTTTAATTAAATTTTTTCCAATAACTTTAACTATATACAGTGTGTCACTATAGTCAGTAAGTTCTTACCTGAATTTTTTACAATAAATTATAGTACAGTAATAGATATCAAATACAGGTTACCCTCATTAATATCAATCCATTTGTATTAGACAATTATGTTGATATATGCGATGGTTGATAACAGCGGAAGAGTTTTTATATAGCCTGAGCCTATTTTCTCTTAATAAGAGGTTGATATTAACGAGGCTGGTATTAACGAGGCTGGTATTAACGAGGCTGGTATTAACGAGGTAACCTGTATAATGCTAATACAAACTAACATAACCTTAGCTACATACTGTGTCTTACTATAGCGTGTAAGTTTTTTAAATGAATATTTTACAGTAAACCAGATGAATATATAGTGAGCTATGATATTTAATCTAAAGTAATGCAACAGGTCTTATGCTTATATCATGACTAAAATTGTAAATTCAGTCGACTAAAGTTATATCCACCTAAAATTGTCGGTGTGTGCAAAATAATCTAATATCAAAAAGCTAATTTTAGTTTAGTAAAACTTTAATTGAGTATCAACTTTAGTTATAAAATATATATGGC